CTCTCTGGTTTGAATCAATTAATGTCATTGAATTCCACGTTCATAGCACCACCATAAGACTTGTCAGGGGTATGAGATCAAACAGTATTTGTGCATACACTCCTCTTTCTCTGGTTTGAATCAATTAATGTCATTGAATTCCACGTTCATAGCACCACCATAAGACTTGTCAGGGGTATGAGATCAAACAGTATTTGTGCATACACTCCTCTCTCTCTCTGGTTTGAATCAATTAATGTCATTGAATTCCACGTTCATAGCACCACCATAAGACTTGTCAGGGGTATGAGATCAAACAGTATTTGTGCATACACTCCTCTTTCTCTTGTTTGAATCAATTAATGTCATTGAATTCCACATTCATAGCTACCACCATAAGACTTGTCAGGGGTAACATACTTAACCCTATTCGTGCATACACTCCCCCTCCCTGCACTGGGGATAAAAAAAAGCCTCTATTGTGAACCATGTCTGCATACTATGCACGCAGTCGGTGGTAGAGAGGATTTGTCAGTGACATATTTAATCTCCCACAGCGTAGGCTTCACACATCTTCAACATTTTGCCTTCCCTGAGTGCGTCAGCATAGTTGCAGATACTTCTCATGTTTTGATAGGGCGAACCTGACTATATGGTTTGTATATATATGTGTATGTGAACTTGCTCCAAGTGTTGACCTAGGGTGATAGCCCTGATGTTTGTAGCAAGGATATTGACCCAACTTTCCCTTTATGACCGGCTGGCCTGTGACTAATGTCTGGTGGCTGTAAAGGAGGGTCACCAGTCATTCAGCCATGAAACACGACCTGTACAAGGGAATCTAGTACAGGTCGTACAGATTTTTTAGAACAGATATGGTCATTGTTGACTGTGTGGGAGGAATTGTACGCATATATTTGACAGGAAGGTATGCAAGATATTAATGTGGAGGTAGCTGTGGGCTTTTCAGGCGGAATAGATAGGTCCCCAGTACACCATGCAGATTATAAGGGAAGATCCTGGTAATGAAGATTTGATAGTTAGTATGTGTGACCTGTCTGTTTATGTCATCCTGCCCTTACCATGCTAACAGCATTAGTCATTGCTAGTTAATGTAAGGAACCAATTGATTATTTACAGGTCTTTTCCATATGGCCGGAATATTACTAACTGTTGCGTAAAGCAACAGGAATTTTAGCTGGAAAATACCCTGACGGAAACATATGGGAAACATACAGGAAATATACAGGAAATTAAGCTTAATGTCAGTACACAGTGCACATGCAAATTAAACATGTCAGAATCAAATGTTGAGATGTGTTTGTGCGCATTGTTTCCAACACATATTTGGCAGACAAGGCTAGGAACTCATGACAGCATATCAGTTTACTGTGTCAATTAAAAAACATGCGTTCCCAGATTCTTTTTTATCAGTATTTTGTTCATGTTATTTGTGCTATTCAACTCTGTGGGCAACTGTGATGCTACATATGGTGCTCGGTCAGTGGCTGCGAGTGATGGCACTCTTATGGATATTTCAATTGAGAAGTTCATTACCCAAAATAATAATGATGTATTCACTGGTTCTGTCGTCCGTGTATTCTGTACAGCAGTCTGAAACCGAAATGTCATGTCTCCACCATGCTTGTGATAGCGGGACAGGACACAATGACAAAACTGATTTTGTTTTATACTTTTGTACATTTCTGCTGCACAAAACATGTTCTCAGTAACAGTTCAGAGAAATAATTAATATTTTGATGTGTATTCTTGTGCAAGTAGTTCATTGACATACTTTTACCATCTGATGCTTCTATGATGTGATGTGATGTGATGTGATGTGATGTGATGTGACTGATGTATTTGCAGCTCCAATTTCAAGTAAACATTAATATTTCACCACACGCTCACATTCGTCTTCAATCTGATTGTGTTCCAGAGTGACGTCTCACTCCTGTAGATTATGAGAGTGCTTTAAAAAATGACTGATTACTTTTGTATTTTACGTATATGAACGTTATGTGCTTTCAGATTTGCAAATTTTATTGAGTATTCAATTTAAGTTGTTTTTTTATGGCTAATGCCAGATGACATTTCTGTCCGGGCATCTAGTACTCAATAATACCGACAAATCCCACAATGTTTACCTGCAAATATAGATTGTTTCCATGACTAGCATAGTCCTCTGAGATTTGTACCATTATGATATGTCAGTACCAATAACAAGTTATACAGTTACGTTACACCTTAAATTATGGGATGGGACATCACATTATCATCACGTATATGGTTGCCATGTTCCAATTATAAACTTCACAGAGACACTTCCCAATTATTCTGAAGAAAAACAGTTTCATATTTTTCCTTGGACCAGACAAAAATGTTAGTTCCTTTCTTCTGCCTCAAACTTTGCATACGAAAACACAAATAATATAATTATCAGAATGTTGTTTTCACTGAACAATGTTAAATATACCGTATTCGACGATATAAAGTGTATTCATACAACATGAGATTTTGTTGAAAAGAATTATGGGTTCCAAATGTCACTTTTTACATTGCACAACTTGTAAGAACTGTTGCCATGGCCTTGGTTCTTGTCTGTGTGTCAGGGTTCGCACAGATTAAAAGAAAGGTGGTTAAGTTTAACCATGTCCGGTGAAAAGTGCTTAATCCTGCCATTTTACCTTTAAAGTGCAGGAATATTGTTGAAAGAACATGTACTTAAAAAGTGCTGGAATGTAAATAAAATCAATCCAGATATGACAAGAGCTCTGCTGAAAATTATTACTAATCAATTTTCAATGAGCAGGATGTGTTGTCACTTCCTGTCGCTTACAAAAACAAAAGAAAGCCTGTCTTCAGTATGTCTTGGGTTTCTTGCATTATTTCCTAGCACTTTGTGGACCGCCTCCTTGGTCTAGTGGTAGAGCGTCCGCCCGGAGAGCGGAAGGTCCGGGGTTTGATCCCCGGCCACGTCATACCAAAAGACGTTAAAAGATGGTACCGTACTTGTTGTTACCCTGTCTGGCGCTCGACATTAAGGGGCCAAAACAAAGACTGGTCGGCTCGGAGTCAGTATACTGTGCCTGAGTGGGGTATTCATGTTAAACTGCGGCATGGTATCTCAGTGAGCTTGCACTATAAATCGGCATCAGTCCGGACTAGTATAAGCAGCCACACAAACACACACACATACATGCACGTCGCTATATAAGTACAATAATCTTGGATGCAACGTTAAACCCCATTTCAACTCACCTTCACCTAGCACTTTGTATAACTGAATTAAATTTAGTTATCAGGTTATCATAGATACAAACAAAATCAGTGTTTGGTTAAATTGTCTTGTGACTATTTGCTCAGAATGTTTGAAATGCTTTCTCAGCAGGAAAGGAAGTCCCATTAATGTGTTGAAATTACACGTTAGAGGATTATGAAGCTTAGATTTCTTGCTTGAATGAGGCTGAATACAACCTTCCAAATAAAATGTCCACTATTAAGCTCTCCGCAGGGACTGTTACCTGGATAGTTATGCCATCGGAATAACACCACACTGTTACCATGGTTTCAAATTCTGTGTTACACCATGATCAGTGTTAAACGCAGTGTTATGTCATTAGTGTTACAGGCAGTGTTATTCTTACTTCCTATGATCTGACTTGGCTATTGTGTGTGGTTCTGCTGGATATTGTACCAGACTCTACAGTTAATCACTGCTACCTCCACGTTCCCCTGTTGTAAGGTAGGACCAGTTAGTCTTGATTTTCTGGCTATATAGTCGACAAAATAAGCTAGATGAAAGAACTGATTTGACTAATCTTTTATCCCTGGGGATTCGGGGTTCTGTTTGTTTGTTTGTTGTTTAATGATGCACTCACCAATATTCCAGCTAATTGAGCCTGGACAAGACAATCCGGGGATTGACATTATGAGCATTGATCGACACAACTGATATACAATGACATGCATCAACCAAGTCTGCCAGCCTCACCACCCGATCCAGTCATTTGCTTCTTACGACAAGCATAGTCGCCTTATGGCAAGCATTGGTTGCTGAAGACATATTCCAACCCAGATCTCTATGCATGATCTGTCATTAGCTACACCCAAAACATAATACTAATTCTTGTGTCTGGTTCAAATACTTGATTAGAATCGATCTTTGGCTCCTTGGTGTGTTCAGGCACCACCATGTTTGTGGGAAAGTCTACCGGAATAACCTGCATCAGTTCAGGCTTTCCTCACACATTCAGCTGACACATTTCAGCATTAAAACCATCTCACTCACTCACTGTTGTTATGTTTGTTGATCAATGCCACACTCAGTAGTATAGCCAGGTATATCCCCGCTGACCATGGCTGCAATATTCTCTGTCAATAATAATAACCGTGATCAGCCATTGGTTGTCTGGACTTGACCTCCAACGCCGTGGCAGACGGACATTATGATAGGCTGACACTCTGCTGCTTAGATATTCCCTCACACCCGTAGTGTGAATTTCTGGAGAAAAAACATTCTTTTACAGATTTAGCTTCATGTTGATATGTTTATGTTTATGCATGATTTTAAATGTAAGTTGATAAAGTCTGTATTGATACAGAGATTGTTATCAGAGGTGTTTCCATCTTGTAAATGTCATGTATTAGGAGTACAAATTTTATTTATACCGGATATTTATGATGCAGAAAGACAAGGGTTATAATCTCCTTGTCACATAATGTCCTTAACACAATCAATGTTAAAGATGTTATTTCACTCACTGTAGTAACTTTGAAGCCATGTTTGTCAACTGAATCATCTGCCCCAATTATCAGGTTGGGACAAATAATTGGAAGCCATGTTTGTGTAGAGAACAGCAACACATTGAAAAACACCCTTCTAATCTCATTGAGTGTGTAAGGCAACAATTTATTGAGAGACATTGCGTCTTTTTAAAAGTAGGTCCTTACCTAATTTGCATTTTTATCGGATCGTAACACTATCCGTTGTATGATAAATGTTGTTATTGTCCTTTCAGTTGATCATCCCATGTGAAGCCTCATTCTCATAGGAAGAGTCTATTCATTACATTCGAATCATGGAGATGCAAAACATGGACTGGTCCATAATTCTCATCATCGTCATCATCATCCTACTCCTGTACTTCGTCTGTCAGCGACGTCGCAGGAGAGTCGTCCAACCCGTTGCTGTCGCAGATGACATGAAGAACTCCAGGTCAACCCTTATTGAGGAAACTATCACAACATCGACTTCCTCAAAAAGTTATTCCAGTTACAACGATGGAAGGTTTGATAAAGTGGATGGGGAAAAGTCAAACAGAATCAAGCAGTTGCTTCGGACTCGGGACATCAAGACAGTGTCAGAGCAGTTCAAGACTCTCGGCGAGGTGGGAGACGCCATCAGGGAGGCTGGACTCGAGAAGTGTAACCTGATATTCGGTAAGTGTCTGAATATGCATTATTACTAATTTTCATCCAAAACTGGTGAAGGAACACCGCCAGCCTTAAAGAAACTTTTACATCACAAAATTTCTTAGACAATCAAGGTGACGTGTTTGTCATCAACTAAGGGAGGTAACTCTAAATCACACTTCCTGTTCAAATCTGGCCACGGCAGCACTTAAGGATTTACATGCTGTTCAGTCATATCCTGCCGCTGACAATCACTACGAATAAACGAACAACAATCTCTATGGTCAAATCACGCACACTGTATTCAGGTGCATTATGTGGGAAACCCATGTCTCCAGATTGACAAACTGAACTCCCCCTCCATAGGGCCCGTGAAGATCCGGGTTTGAATAGGTCTTGAGCAACCGATGCTTGCCGTAAAAGGTGACTATGCTTGTCGTAAAAGGCGACTATGCTTGTCGTAAAAGGCGACTAACAGGATCGGGTGGTCAGGCTCGCTGACTTGGTTGATGCATGTCATCGATCCCAATTACATGGATCGATGCTCATGATGTCAATCACTGGATCGTCTGGTCCAGACTCGATTATTTACAGACCGCCGTCATATAGCTGTCATATAGCGACTATGCTTGTCGTAAAAGGCGACTAACAGGATCGGGTGGTCAGGCTCGCTGACTTGGTTGATGCATGTCATCGATCCCAATTACATGGATCGATGCTCATGATGTCAATCCAGGGGTCCGGAAAATTTAAAATCCCAATCGGACATTTGCATTTAGGCCACGCCCCATTCAAAAAGCGTATTTTAGTACGACTTTTCACACACATTACAAGTTTACGTATTCATAATATGATGAATTATTAATTGTTTCAATTTAAATTGTTTAATTCACCGGACAATTAATAACAAATAATATCATTTTAGATTTACATGGAAAACATACGTTTGTTTCTGTTATAATAACGATCTGTTAACGTAGTGAACGGTCTAATTAATATTCATGAGTTATATTCATGAGTCTGCTCAAGTGTACGTGTTGTAACATTTGGATCGAGACTATTATCCCATATTTGGTTATCACGTGACCTCACAGGAAAAGTGTTTTTTTTAAACTAAAGATTTTTTTCAAAACAAGACAGATAATTTAATCACAAATACTAAAATATCGTTGATAGCAATAGCTATTTGAATACTTTTTTCATCTTTACTTAATTATTGACTATAAAAAAATGGATATCGATCGTCCGAGAAAGCAAAATGGCGGTCAATCAAGATTCAATATACGACTAGCTACTGAAAACAATAAAATCTGCAAATCCTCATTGTATGTCAACCAAGTGAAAGTCGTTAGCCACGACTTACAAAATGATCGTCCAGACTTTGAGGGTTTGGCAGATCCGCTCGACTGGCTGTCGTCACGCTTTCGCTTCTTGTCCGAGGTTACGTATCGTAGCATTGTGAGGATAATGAGGTACATCGATGATGCAAGGTATTAATGAACAGTTGTAAACACCTTTCACTCAAATTAACAAGATGTTCTCAGTAATTAATCCTCGATTAATCAGTGTCAACTCAGTTTATTGCCTATTACAGTGATTGACCGATTGGACTATCATGTAGGTACGATGTATTTACAGCAATCAAAACAAACAAAGCTTGTCAGTGTAGATAATCTTCATTGTGTTACAACTGCAGACAGAAACTGCTCAGTCCTAACTGTTGATCATGTCCGGTCAAAATTTAAGAATGTCCGGACAATACTTTTTAAAATGTCCGGTTAGCAATATTTTAAAACGGACATTTGAGATTCCCAATCGGACATGTCCGGCGCATATGACGGTTTCCGGCCCCCTGTGTCAATCACTGGATTGTCTGGTCCAGGCTCAATTATTTACAGACCGCCGTCATATAGCTGTAATATTGCTGAGTGCTGCGTAAAACAAACAAACAACCAACCAACCAACCCCCTCCATAGCCCCACCAGGGTTCAAATACATGGTTTACATATGTTTATTCCTGCAGGTGTGGACTGAACTCCCCCTCCATAGCCCCACCAGGGTTCAAATACATGGTTTACATATGTTTATTCCTGCAGGTGTGGACTGAACTCCCCCTCTATAGCCCCATCAGGGTTCAAATACATGGTTTACATCTGTTTGTTCCTGCAGGTGTGGACTGAACTCCCCCTCCATAGCCCCACCAGGGTTCAAATACATGGTTTACATCTGTTTGTTCCTGCAGGTGTGGACTGAACTCCCCCTCCATAGCCCCACCAGGGTTCAAATACATGGTTTACATCTGTTTATTCCTGCAGGTGTGGACTGAACTCCCCCTCTATAGCCCCATCAGGGTTCAAATACATGGTTTACATCTGTTTGTTCCTGCAGGTGTGGACTGAACTCCCCCTCCATAGCCCCACCAGGGTTCAAATACATGGTTTACATCTGTTTATTCCTGCAGGTGTGGACTGAACTCCCCCTCTATAGCCCCATCAGGGTTCAAATACATGGTTTACATCTGTTTGTTCCTGCAGGTGTGGACTGAACTCCCCCTCTATAGCCCCATCAGGGTTCAAATACATGGTTTACATCTGTTTGTTCCTGCAGGTGTGGACTACACTGCCAGTAACTACCAGCAGGGCAAGAAGACCTTCGGGAAGAAGTGCCTGCATGACATCTCGCAAACTGAACAGAACCCCTACCAGAAGGTGAGTGAGTGAGTGAGTGAGGGAGTGAGGGAGTGAGTGAGTGAGAGAATGAGTACACCTCTCCAGAACATAATCCCGACCAATGGTCTAGTGTGTGAGTGTGTGAATAAGTGCACCTCTCCCAGAAGAGAACCCATACCAGTGTGTGAGTGAGTGAGTGAGTGAGTGAGTGAATGCATCTCACCCAGCACAGAACCCACACAGTGAGTGAGTGAGGGAGTGAATCTCTCCCAGAACATATTCCACACCTGAAGGTGCCAGATTAATTTTGAGTTGAAGAGAGTTAGTGAGGGCATCTGTCCTGTAAGGTAAGGTTCAGACGTCAGTGATTGAGTGACACTATTGTTTCACAATCACCAATATTTCATTGAGATCACTGCGCATGAGAGAGTTGAAGTTCTCTCCACACCAATTTTAAAAACAATGCATGTATCTTCTGATTGTGGGTTAGTGTGTTAATATAGATCTGCAACCAATGTGTTCAGGTTATTCAAGTTCTCGGCGAGACCCTGGAACCCTTCGACAGCGAGGGTGTGATGCCGGCGTTCGGCTTTGGGGACATGACGACTCGGGATCACGGAATCTTCCCGCTCCGCCCAGATGTAAGTGATGAATCTGTAGGTATTGGTGTTGTGTTCACGCTGTTCTTGTTGCACTTGTTGATGTTCTGACGATGTTGCACATCTGCATCCTTCCAAGTCTGTCCCCCTCCACCTTCAGTTGAACATCCGGTTTGACAGTTTGCTGGTGAACACGTTCAGCAAGGTCACATTTGTAAACTTGGTTCATTTTAATGTGATCATTTTCAAATTCTATAAAGTGGAACATGGCACAGGAATATGTTGGAAGAAATTAATGATGTTAAAAAAATTGATTACAGAAATTGAAATAAATGAAAAGGCAAATTACTGCTTTACAATACATTGTTTATAAGTTTTATAAAATATTTCAAAGTTCGCCAGTTCCAATTTTTGTAAACTCATTAAAGTGGCCACTGACTTGGTTTACCATGAAGGTGGAAGTAATTCTTACTTTTCCTCTATGGGTATCTGCCTTATTTAAATTCTCTTCCAAAACCTGATTTATCATCCCTCTAATAAGTAATCAGAAAAGTTTTATATGCACCCATTTGCCTGCATGACTATTTATCAGCTCACTGTAGAAATTTGTTTAACATAATAACTTTTTCATAAAGAAAATCTGAGCTGTATTCAATCATAAGGATAACTGTGTAAGGGAAGTAACTCTGTTATATTTCCGTCTTAAATATTCTCAACATTACTCAACACTTTTGCACAACAGACACCTCGTCAGTATTATTCTCAAAGAAGTGCAGCTTTGTTTGTGTCTATCTTATTTAAGTTTCTTCTGACAGACCTATCACCCTCAAACATAGCATGGAGCTGAGAACGCTTTGTTGAGATTGCTGCTAGGTCTCCTTAACTTCCTATTTCTGTTGTGACTGTTCCTATGAACACCTTACAATTATGGATGGCAAATGTTTTATTTGATTTCTGAGAGACAAAATACAGACACACTGAGATGGAAGTGATGTCATTCTACTGAGATGGAAAAATAGTCATTCTCCTGAGATGTCTGTGTCATTTTTAAAAATGTGACACATAAATGAGTGTTATAGTCATTGCCTGTCCATGTATTGTCTGTGGTGAAGAATTGAAGTGAAGCCTGATTAATCTGGACCCTGTTAGTCCGAACAATTTGTGATCTTGTTGGGAACATCTGTAAATGTGAAAAGCCATGTGAGTCTATATCTATTCCTTAATTCAGAAATTCATGAATCTGGATGATTTCATTTCATTGCCGGAACTGGACTGCTGAGTTCGTCACAACCTGGGGATTTGACACATCTGTGTTTGAGACAATGAGGTTCTCATGAATTTGCAAAATTGGTTCTAAATTTGATTGTTTTTGTGCTAAATTTGAAGTCCAACAGTTGCTGTATCCATATCCCTTAGAATATCTTTACATTAAACGCCCATTCCAGGTTAGAAGTGATCCTCAGCAATCTATGCTGGTTGTAAGAGGTGACTTACTGGTTCAGGGGTCACGCTCAGTGACTTAGTTGATTGCTTGGATCGGTGCTCACAATATCGATCACTTGATTGGCTGCACGCACGCACGCACGCTCACACCACACACACTCACACATTGCACACACTGCACACACAGGATAAATACCTTATTACTGGATTTGTACTGGATTTTCCATTTGAAAAATGAATCAAACACTATTCTTAGAAAATTCTTGGAAATCAGATCTACTCAGTGTGTAAGATTGTGCTGAGAACTAAATAATTTACATAAAGGACCATTTAACAAGGCAGATGACCGTTTAGATGATCATAACTCCCATACTTTAGCATAAACTTATGAGAGTTTTAGTGCAAAGATCACTTTGTCATGTCGTGAACAACCTGTGTTGTCTGGTTTTGACTTGATCATTTACAGGCCGCCGTCTTGAAGACAACAACCGCCTCCGTGGTCTAGTGGTAGAGCGTCCGCCCGGAGAGCGGAAGGTCCGGGGTTTGATCCCCGACCGCGTCATACCAAAAGACGTTAAAAGCTGGTACTTGTTGTAACCCTGTCTGGGGCTCGGCATTAAGGGGCTAAAACAAGGACTGGTCGGCTCGGAGTCAGTATACTGTGTCTGAGTGGGGTATTCATGTTAAACTGCGGCATGTTATCTCAGTGAGCTAGCACTATAAATCGGCATCAGTCTGGACTAGTACAAGCAGCCACACAAACGCACACACGTACATGCACGTCGCTATATAAGTGCAATAATCTTGGACACGACGTTAAACCCCATTTCACCTCACCTCACCTTGAAGACAACACAATATTTTATGTGTGCTTCAGGAAGTGCCATATCTCTGCAGTCTCCCATGTTTTTGTCTTCATGTGTTGTCTTCTGGTTTTTGCAGAAAGAGAATTAAGGGAACAGGAATCAGTAGAAGCATTGTTTGACTGGGCAACCATTGGACTTCGATTATAGCACAAAAACGATCAAATTTGGAACCAATATTGAACTTACAATGGAACCCCATTGCCCTGTTTTCAGATGCGTGGAATCAGCGGTCCTGGCAAACTCTTTACTGATCACTGTTTTAATTTGTTTGGATTGAATTGGATGTATTGAATTCCCAGTTGTCTCAAACTCAATTTATTGTTCCAAAAGTTCAAAAGAAGTTAAAAACTTATCCTGATAAGTCAAACTCACAGCTTCAAGGATATGTTGTATATTACAGGGTATGTGCTATGGCTTCAAGAATACGTTGTATATTACAGGATATGTGCTATGGCTTCAAGAATATGTTGAAAATTACAGGGTATGTGCCATGGCTTCAAGGATATGTTGTATATTACAGGGTATGTGCTATGGCTTCAAGGATATGTTGTATATTACAGGATATGTGCCACGGCTTAAAGAATATGTTGTATATTACAGGGTATGTGCCATGGCTTCAAGGATATGTTGTATATTACAGGGTATGTGCTATGGCTTCAATGATATGTTGTATATTACAGGGTATGTGCTATGGCTTTAATGATATGTTGTATATTACAGGGTATGTGCTATGGCTTTAATGATATGTTGTATATTACAGGGTATGTGCTATGGCTTTAATGATATGTTGTATATTACAGGGTATGTGCTATGGCTTCAAGGATGTGTTGAAAGTGTACAACGAGATCACTCCCCGAGTTCGTCTCAGTGGCCCCACCAACTTTGCCCCTCTCATCAAACAGTCTATTGACATCGTCAAGTCAACCAGAGCAGTAAGTTGTCATTTTACTCAAATTATGTCTACAGTTAGTACTATACTGTGAAATCTTTTTGATCACATCAGGCATAACTACTTTCTGTTGACATTCAAAGTTGTGTGGATTTCCAGACATCTTTGTTTTTTGACACCTGTGGAGGTCTGAGGCAGGATAAGTACATGGTACCCAAATCTTGTTGTAAGAGCCATCACTGTGGGAATCTTGGCAGGACAAGAACACAGTACCTAAATCTTGTTGTAAGAGCCATCACTGAAGGAATCTTGGCAGGATAAGTACATGGTACCCAAATCTTGTTGTAAGAGCAATCACTGAAGGAATCTTGGCAGGATAAGTACATGGTACCCAAAAAATGTTGTTTAAGAGCCATCACTGTAGGAATCTTGGCAGGACCAGTACATGGTACCCAAATCTTGTTGTAAGAGCCATCATTGTAGGAATCTTGGCAGGACAAGAACACAGTACCCAAATCTTGTTGTAAGAGCCATCACTGTGGGAATCTTGGCAGGACAAGTACATGGTACCCAAATCTTGTTGTAAGAGCCATCACTGAAGGAATCTTGGCAGGACAAGAACACAGTACCCAAATCTTGTTGTAAGAGCCATCACTGTAGGAATCTTCGCAGGACAAGTACATGGTACCCAAATCTTGTTGTAAGAGCCATCACTGAAGGAATCTTGGCAGGACAAGAACACAGTACCCAAATCTTGTTGTAAGAGCCATCACTGTAGGAATCTTGGCAGGACAAGTACATGGTACCCAAATCCTGTTGTAAGAGCCATCACTGAAGGAATCTTGGCAGGATAAGTACATGGTACCCAAATCTTGTTGTAAGAGCCATCACTGTAGGAATCTTGGCAGGACAAGTACATGGTACCCAAATCTTGTTGTAAGAGCCATCACTGTAGGAATCTTGGCAGGACAAGTACATGGTACCCAAATCTTGTTGTAAGAGCCATCACTGAAGGAATCTTGGCAGGACAAGTACATGGTACCCAAATCTTGTTGTAAGAGCCATCACTGTAGGAATCTTGGCAGGATAAGTACATGGTACCCAAATCTTGTTGTAAGATCATCCCCTGTGTGGCTCTTGGCAGGATAAGGGGACCTTTTGGCCCACTGGAATCAGCACAGGATGAGGGGGGAGAAGGCCCTTTTGGGCCCACAGGAACTGCATAGTTTAAGAATTGAACAAAACTTTAAGAAACTGTGCAGTCATTTGAACATGTCTGATAATTTCCACAGTATTTCAAAGTTACCATTAATTGTATGATTTGACTGAATTTCCTATATTTTGTATCTACATTAATCTTTCCAGTTCCACATCCTGGTAATCGTGGCTGACGGCCAGGTGACGAGTGAGCGAGCAACCACCGATGCCATCGTTGAGGCATCCAACTTCCCTCTGTCCATTATCATGGTGGGAGTCGGAGACGGACCCTGGGATGTCATGGACGAGTTCGACCAGAAGATTCCATCCCGCTCCTTTGACAACTTCCACTTTGTAGACTACCAGAGTGTGACCCAAAACGTGAAGAATCCGTCCGCCTCCTTCGCCCTCCACGCCCTTATGGAGATTCCCGATCAGTACCAGTCCATCAAGAGGCTGGGTTTGCTCAGTCTCTAAACTGTGTGACCAAGAGTTGTTTCCCTTGGACCTGTGTCCATTTCATTGCAATAGCTTCACTGAACTCATCATGTTAAGTCTGAAAGAGTATCGCGTTGTTTCATGTATACGCATCACATAGTGTAAATTTTTCACTAGCATCTTCCAGAGGAAATATGATTCTAGCAAACATTTTCGTACTCAGAAAGATATAACCCGACCATTGATTGTAGACTGGATACTTGTCTATCCAGGTAGTATTGCAGTTTTAGCACTTCACTAATTAAAATTTAACGTATTTCAGAGGTGGTGAGGTTGCCTAGTGGTGAAAGAATTCACTCGTCTCACTGATGACCTTGAGAATCCCTACATAGGTGAACTCTCGGACGTACATTCATCTGTGTTCGTCTTTGGTTAGCTTGAATGAGTTTCTCACAATGATTAGTCTGCAAAAAGTGGCATTTAATCTCTCACTGTTGATCCAGAAAGAAAACTTGTAAGTGTGAAGGACTTTGTTATGGCTGACAAAATGAGTTTGTTCACCTTATACAGGAAGAATGCAGCAGGCTGACATGACAGGCCATTTTGAATGTTATAAAGGGAGACAACTCTAGAAGTACAGATCTCACCTCTTGTGTGTGTTGTCATGATGATATTAAGTCAATATGCTGTGTTTTTCTGTTTTATTTTCACTGTTGCCTTGTCTTGCACATTCCAGGAGAAACAATATTTTGAACAAATATTACACTTTTTATGGAACTCTTTTGATATTTTATACAGTTCCAAGATAGATATATTTAATGTTTCAAACAAAATCATTTTTATATCATGTTGTATTGTACTGACTTATTGTCTCTGTTTTGTACAAGCTACCAACAGCTTTTATACATTGTTCGACCACTTTTCAATTTATGGACCGACCAACATCCTGAGCCAAGAGACACAAGTAAATATAAGACAAAATTATTTCGAAATAATTTACACTTACATATTCTCTACTTTGGATGGATGTGTACAAAAAAGGTACAACTACAAAAATTCACTGTTATGTAAAGACAGCTGGCTTTTTTTTAACACAATTTAGGGAATGATTTCAACCAAAGCTCATATGTTTCTACAATATATGCTTACCCTTAAATGAAAAAGCTTTGACCTGGTGACTAAAACAAAGATGGCCATCAGCATCTTCGCAACATATAGTCATGATGCTTGTCAATGATTACCGCTGCTGCTTAATTTTAACTTGGTCAGACTTTATAAGACTTTAAAATATTATACTATAAAGCTGGTCTGGTGGTGATCTGTAATTTAGTCCAGGTATCATTTTAATTAACATAAAAACAATAAACGTGAAAAAGGACACTCAAAAATAATTTTGTCAAAATGTGCTTATGGTCATTTTAAGTGGAATACAGTATGTACATTCAGAACGGAATGTTTATATACTGGAATAGCTTTGTATTGACATTTCCCTTGTATTTTAACCGAGAATGTACATAAGGGGAGATAATTCCTACCTTGTTCCCAGATAGACCTATTTTTAGACATCTAGCTTTTCAGGTGCTATATGTGGATGTATATGGTTTGAGGTAAATGATAAAAATTGTACAGTCTGAGTAAGGCTACAAAAAATTCATTATAAGATTTTCATTAAATTTGTCAAAACTGAGTATGGTGGTATATTTTTTGCGAGTTGTGAGGCATTATATTCTTTTATGATTTTAGTAACAATCTTTTCAAAGCATCTGTGTACATTAGCTGTCAACAGATATGATGCACAGAAGTGTCTGGTAGGACTATGTATGTGGTGTATTTCACCAAGTTAAGAAAGAAAGGAACAGCGATTTTCTGTGGTACATGGGGGAAAAAATGCTGGTAGTGATTGGGAGGTGGGTTGTGTTAAAATCTAATAATTAATTTATTGTGGCCTTACAGAAAAAATCTGTCCAGTCATGTTGTTGAAATGATGGTGAGGGATATGTTGATTATTATTGTTATTATTTTGAATGCATTGATGAACGTGGAGAGTTTTGTATGGCAGTAGAAGTACATTATATTTCCTTAACATGTACACCCATAAAAAAGTAATATTTTTAGTTTCCTTCTCTTTTAAGTATTCCTGGTGCTTTTTGTATCCTGTATGTGTAATCTCAATGTTGTTTACTACCTCTTTATATTCTGTTATTATTGAAAATGAATATATGTTTTATTACTATTTCTGTTAATATTTTAATAAATGTACCAGTAGTTGATTTGTGCTTTATTTTCATGAAAATAAGATTTTATGGGAAAATTAAATTTGTTCACACTCAGTCATTCTCTGATTTAATATCAAATTTCTTGAAATTCTTTTTAAAGTCTTTTCTCATAATTTCAGGTTTTGCTTAAAAGGTCTCCTGGAACTTAATAGCAAAGGTGGCCCTGTTGTCAAAGGTTTTACAGAGTTATGTCCCTTAGGCATGCCAGAATCCGATTATCATGGGGTCAGATTTGCCCTGATAAAGATGTTTGTCAGCACCATACTCATGCAGTGATAGAACAAACAATCTGGCATCAAACCCATTGGTTCACTGACTTCTACAATCTGGAGGGGCGGTCGGGTAGCCTCGTGGTTAAAGCGTTCGCTTGTCACGCCGAAGACCTGGGTTCGAATCCCGACATGGGTACAATGTGTGAGCCCATTTCTGGTGTCCCCCGCCGTGATATTGCGGGAATATTGCTAAAAGCAGCGTAAAACCAAACTCACTCACTCACTCTACAATTTGGATCAAAACTAGGATCAAACTGCAGTTTTAGAGACAGAAGCATGAAATGTTTCAGTACTGTCCCACAACTCTAAGAATAACTAGCAGCATTACAAATAAGAATGTGCTCATTGATTTTGTCATTTGTCCGCATAGAGCCATTCACAACCACTGAAAAGGTGACGTTCCCCCAATAGGAGCTGCATGAAATATACAACGATGTTAGAAAAACGTCCATTTGGAAAGAAAATCCAAAACATCATTTTTGGCCAAATGTTGACCTGGAACCATCTTGTCCTCGGGTAACAATATGTCTGTCCTGACTGTAATCACTCAGGGGTGGTCGGGTAGCCTAGTGGTTAAAGCGTTGGCTCGTCACGCCGAAGACCCGGGTTCGATTCCCGACATGGGTACAATGTGTGAAGCCCATTTCTGGTGTCCCCCACCGTGATATTGCTGGAATATTGCTAAAAGCGGTGTAAAACCATACTCACTCACTCACTCACTAAAATCACTCACCAGCACAGCTTGTCACAGATGTAAAGCCTTTAAATATACATGGAATAATGTTAATATATTTTCACGTAAAAGTCATTTAATACAACACATTCTTTTGCTTAGAAAAACACATATATTTTTGTTTACCAAGTGACACTCTCATCTGAAACTGAAATTGATTATCTAATGACATCTGTTCCTGCTCCATGGCAATACTTTTCTGACTATCCTTTCAGTTGCTTTGTCAGCTTCTTTGCATCACGTGACACAACCGGGACTTGTGACCATCTGGAGGAACATGCAGTGTCATTGTACCAACTGTCCTTGAAGTAGTGCAGACATTTCCCAAAGATACATGGAAGTTTGAAAGAGATGCTATTAAAGAAGGGATGGTGTTAACCTTTTTGCATTTTTTATTAAAAAATTGCTCTTTTTTCTTTCTTTCTTTACCAAATGCTCATTTTCTCAATGAATCTCACTTTGACTTTGTCATGTGTTGTCTTTAATTGATCATAATTACAGTGTTTTAAGCATATTCAAAAGGTCGCACAGGTGGTTTAGTCGTCTTAGGCACCACAATCTGCTGTGCAGAGTTACGTCCCTTGGGCACACCAGGAAGGTATGATCAAGAGTTTGAAACCTGGTTCGCCCCGATTATCTTTCCAGGTTTGTCAGCACCATACCTGTGCTCGTGGGTTTCACCAAAGAGGTAAATGTCTGAGACCTGCATCACTTCGGTCCTTCCTCCCACATTAAGTTGACACACCATGATACAAGAACTGGAATACTGTTAAAAGCGGCATTAAACCCAACTCACTCACTCTCACTCATTTAAACATGTTGATGGAATAAATTATATAACATTTGGTAGCATGATAACCAATCGTCACAATTCCCAAGGCAAGGTGAGTTCTTGTTAACAATAGTCAGCTTTTTCTATAATTCAAGAACAGTGTTATTTGACAGGACGGCCATTTTGATTGTCAAATTGAATAGAATACATGTATACATGTACTACATAGCACCCAGGTTGCATTTACCAGTTCCATGGCATAATATGAATGACTTGAGCGGTCGTCAACTTTTTTGAGTAATATATAAATACATTTTCCATCAACGATGAATTACACATGACTTTGTGTTATTGATGCATCTCCATAAACCTCAACTGGAGAAAGGTGATAGTTTGAAAGGTGATAGGATATTTCATGATAGGAATGTCCCATATGCTGCAGTCGTAATGCATAATAATATTACTCCTGGTTGTGAAACATATGGCTTAGATTGTGGGCCCAGGTTTTGAGTCCTGAAGTACAACTAGGTGACTGTTGAAGCAGGTTAAACTACTTTGGCTGCATGGTTTTTCAGATGGTTTACGAAACCAACCGACCAAAAAAAACCCCTGAAATTAGACAAATGAAATAAAATCACTTTTACCAAATTATTTAATATCATGAAAACATACACAAGATTATATTACCATTGTTCTTAAAAAATAGACAATAGGAAGAAAAAAATCTGTGTTCTCTCAAACAAAAATCAATTTCTTATGGTATCTAGCCATGTGAAAACATGTTTGTATTTTGTTCATTAGTAGTAAAGAAACAAAGTTGAATTTCTAAAAGAAAAATTCAACCAATTAAATTGAATTCTTGGCCTTAAATTGTGTAAATTCATATTATATAAACAAAATAAGAGCACAACTTATGTACAATAAGACCAGTAAATCTAAAAACGCATAAGCTTTATCTTCCAATGGAAACCAACAATGTTTCTCATCTGATGATGTCTCTTGTCAGGAGCAGCCCTACTTCCCCTTCACTCTCCCATCCTGAGTGCCCTTCAACTTGCTGTTGTTTAAAAAAATGTTGAAGCGATTTTGTTTTGTTTTCTCAGTGAATGATCTATATAATTTTATTGTGATTATGAATGTGATATTTCATGAGATTTGCTTTTTTGGTGCTGGATATTGTTATACCTTGCTCTTTCAAACATTTTGGTTGTGATTCAGAAAATATGGATTTTGTATTTCGTGTGGATTTTATTATTGAAAGGGGGAAGGAATAAATTAGTTTGCATGTTTCAGAACACAAAACTGACACGCTAAAGAAATCTTTGTTACAGAATCAATGTTGAATGTTTAAGAAAACTATTCCAAAAACACTGAGGCTATGATATCGTCATTACTAGTGCTGGTTTAGCGCTAGTGACAAGAATTGTGTTGTACCGGTACCGGTTGACAAAAGTTTGTTCAAACAGTTGGTTTATAACTGACATAATTGGGTTTTTTAAATAATTATTTTTATCATTATTATTATCATTATGATGATGATGATGATGATGCAATAACATTTGGACTATTTGTTTAAGCGGTAAGTAATGCCAACATAGGTAGTTATCAGATTTGGTTATTGAAAATGAAGTGTAAACAGAGGTGTAATTTCATGCGTTAAAGAGTGATAATACAGCCGTAAATTGTGACATCCCTTCTTACAATGCGCTGGCAATTGCTTTGATTATCCAATTATGACAATATATTTGTCATGAAAGTTTTAGAGATGATTGATTTTCAGAATATACATGTTTTTCTCAGCATCAGAAATATTGTCCAGTTTGTGTATTGTTCATTTTAATCGTTTTAATCATTTCAACATCATTTAAGTAAATCAACAATCTGTATTTTCTATCTCATTACTTTTAAGTACATTTCTTTTTCAATTTATAATTTGTTTTGCTTTGTGTACTTAAATAATGAATTATGACAGATAGGTGCACGTAGAGATATTGCACATGTGGTACATACAATATGGTCTTGCCTCAGTTCTCTCTGGAGGGGCAGTCGGGTAGCCTCGTGGTTAAAGCGTTTGCTCGTCACGCCAAAGACCCGGGTTCGATTCCCAACATGGGGACAATATGGGAAGCCTTTTTCTGGTGTCCCCCGCGATATTGCTGGAATATTGCTAAAAGCGGTGTAAAACCATACTCACTCGGTTCTCACTGGAAGTGTCTTTTTTATGCTTCTGCTCACAATTTCCTTAAAATCACCTCTTTTTTCGGATACTACACCTCTCTGCATGAAGCATATCTGATGTCTGGATCTTTAAAAATGACATGACAAATGGAGATAAATGAGGCAGCACCCTTATTTTGTGGTGGGTATGTTGCACAACCTGTTTGTGTGCTTCTGATAAAAAGGGGTACAATCGAAGGAATACTTGTTTGCTGTGTGGGATAACAAAATTTCCGAATCAAGGTGGTAAAGAAATGAAGCCGATTCATTTGATAAAACCCCACATATACTACATTTGATTGGGCATAACGATCTGTGGATGGGATGTCAAATCTTTAAGCAGAGACGTATGGTATCCGAGTAAAAGATAGGAGATGGTTTCTATTGAGACAGAACACCATTGCCATGGAACACTTACAAAACATGTGAGTATGTCAGTTAATAAACAAAAATGATTGTGTTTCGCCAGTAGGATATTATAAATTAGCCATTTTATAAAGAACTGTATAGCAAGTAGCAAGTGGTGCTTAATTTTTTTACAGGTGTATATACCTTTCACTTTCCAAGGATGCAAGGAATACTGTTGAAAACCAACTCACTCACTCTCTTCTGGTGCAAATCACTTTGTGAATGTTGTTATATCAAACCTCATTGGTTCTCTCAAGTCTGGAACCAGGAATAGATGCAGTGTGAGGAAAGTGTAGGTTGCAGTAGGAGACATAGCTGCTGTTTATCAGGGATGAATGCTAAGCTGTGTTGTTGTGTGTATTCTTCATTCTTATATACGTGTATGGTTAATAAACTATTATTTTTGCCTTCTTCACATTTTGTGTGGTGTGTTGAGTATGGTAGAATATTAGGTTTTGCTGTCAATGGCAGTTCTACCTCTATCAGCATGGCAAATTGCTTCAGTTTCACCTCCCTTATTTATGGATTACATCCCATACCAGGAACTGCTGATATGGATTTGGATCTTATATTCACCCTGATAATGGCAATAGGGAGGTACTTTGTGTATAAACTACCTTTAAAGATTGACAATGGAGTGAGGACATTGATGTAACTCATATGTGAACAGAATGTCATGGTCGAAACAGACGGTATATGTAGCATATGGTCTCTGGTTGTAACATGCAAAATATAGTAACAAGATTTAAACTGGGACTTGAACTGACATTCAGAGGACCCTGACACCAATAAAGGACACAACTCTGCACAGTGACTTCCTGGGAACATCAATTGTTATTTTTTCTGATATGTGTTACACTTTTTCACTGCTAGGGACCCGTGAAAATTCCGGGGTAGAATAGGTCTGCAGCAACCCATACTTGCCGTAAAAGGCGACTATGCTTGTCGTAAAAGGCGACTAACGGGATCTGGTGGTCAGGCTCACCGACTTGGTTGATACATGTCATCGATCCCAATTGCGTAGATCGATGCTCATGATGTCAATAACTGGATTGTCTGGTCCAGATTCAGTTATTTTACAGACCGCCGTCATATAGCTGGAATATTGCTGAGTGTGGCATTAAACAACAAACAAACAAACAAACACTGCTAGGGGTGGGAGTGGGTACAGATGTGCCAATACTGCACTCCACCCTGACTAGTGAAGATCTGGGTAGAATAGGTCCTCGTCAAACCATGCTTTTAGTAAGAGGCGACTATGCTTGCTGGAAGAGGCTACTAATTGATCAAGTGGTCAGGCTCACTGACTTGGTTGATAAATGTCATCGATCCCAATTGCATGGATTGATGCTCATTATATTAATCACTGGATTGTCTGGTCCAGACTCGATTATTTACAGACCACCATCATATAGCTGGAATATTGCTGAGTGCCCATCCCACCCCACCCCACACCCTCCCCTTTTTTTCAGACACCCTACATGTTATTAAACTGTGACCTGGGCCATCTCTGGTAATCTGATCAAAATGAGCCATAGTTAAAAATTCCACCAAATTCAAGAATAACGTGGAGAGACGCAACTGAACCTATAATATATAAATGCTTAATTCAAGATTGATCTTGTCTGATCAATCAACTCCCCATCGGGAGTGCGCTTGGGACCACTCGGCTCATTCCGCTTCCAGATTGGATCGAATCGACCAGCGGATACGTCCCTTTCATATTCAGCTTACAAACAGCTGGCTCTATCCCGCATCGCCTCCTCCATCTACTTTCGCTAATGAACCATGTTGTGTTGGTTCCTAAACAACACCAAGGTGCGGCTCTGCGCTTCTCCACAGGCCATGCCTACTGGCTCTCACAAACAACACTTATTATTTTTGAAGTTAGGCACTGAAGCTCCCGTAATTACATATTTCTTCACCAAGGGAGTCACATCAAAGAAGGCGTACACAAGACAGACACGGCTTTGAATGCATGGTAGTGTGGTATTAATGTTCCGTAATTTGAACTGAAGCAGGATCGTGAGGGGTACATGGGGTTTTATACCACCAGCACGCTTAAAACCACATGTACCCCTCGTGATCCTGCTACAGTGAATTTATCTTACCTACATGTTTTAATATGACAATGTAAAGGAATTAAAGCAAAATTTCAAAACTGGGATGTTTGATTAAGCTGAGCACGCACAAGCGTGCGGCGTTTGCTTCGAAGCGGGAAAATGGGATTTATTCTTCCGGTGAGAAATCCAAGTGCAGTCTGTTTTCTCCGTGGCGGGGTATATCATGTTTACCTGCCAAAGCATAGAGGACACAAGAACGGCCGTCACCCAGTGGTCACTGACAGGAAATTCCCGCTTAATGCTTACCGTGATTCAAAAGCAGGTGGATGCCACTTTGGTCGGAATGCTACCTGTCTGTCCATATTGACCAAATTACATTGTTCTGGCTTGTACCAACACGTTCGAATATACATCAAATCTTGCGAAGAATGTGAAAACACAAACATTCGTGCCAAGGCCTAGTGAAGACAAACCTTTCCAGGTTGCATGTTGGCATTGTTGGGCCTGTTTCTCAAACAAAGGATGGAAACAAGTAGTTTTTGAAGCTGTGGATCCACACACTAGGTGGATTAGACAGATCACAGTCAATATCAATTACATGAGGCTATTGTCTTGTTAAGTGGGGTGTCAAACAATACCAGGACTCACTTACATTCAATACGCGTCGGGTAGCCCAGTGGTTAAAGCATTCGCTCGGCATGGCGAAGACCCGCGTTCGATTCCCGACATGGGTACAATGTGTGAAGCCCACTTCTGGTGTCCCTCGCCGTGATATTGCTGGAATATTGCTAAAAGCGGCGTAAAACCATACTCACTCACTCACTAATACGCGTCGGTTAACCCGGAGTTTTTTCAAGACACGTTTTACTCTGAAATTTGCGGTGTTGCCAAAGTCGTTACCGTCAATCCTTTAAGATGCGACATTATTTATCCCCGGTGGCCCTCTTGTCTGGCCCTTGTTCGTGGCAGGCATATGGTTACAACAGAGAGTCGTTTGCATCAAGACTGTTCAGTTGTTTCAAATCTCCCTTCAAACCAGACGTATTCTCAAGGATGGAGTTTATTCAATGAGTTTGATTTGATTTGAAACCGTTGTAGCATATGGTCTCTGGTTGTAACATGCAAAATATAGTAACAAGATTTAAACTGGGACTTGAACTGACATTCAGAGGACCCTGACACCAATAAAGGACACAACTCTGCACAGTGACCTCCTGGGAATATCAATAGTTATTTTTTCTGATATGTGTAACACTTTTTCACTGCTAGGGACCCGTGAAGATTCCGGGATAGAACAGGTCTTCAGCAACCCATACTTGCCGTAAAAGGCGAATCACGACCAATCACAGCCGTGCACTCTAGACTCTACGTTCGAAACCTGTAAATTGTAGTTCCCGAGCATGTGCATCCTGGTCACATTATCAGTATTTTGTAATAAAGACGTTTCTTAACCATGAAAACTTGTCTTTGTTCATCACACCAGATTCTTGTAGAAGAAGAGGTAATCACCTCTCCTTCGTGTATATTTCATCAACTCTCGTATCTTGAATCACTGTATCTGCTACGAGATAAAGAATACATCGATTTGAATGTTTATTCCATGTCAGCCTTGTTTTCTTGGTGTGCAAGATTTTGCAATGAATATTTCATCAGAACATAGAGTTGTGAGTGAGTTTGGTTTTACGCCGCTTTTAGCGATATTCCATCAATAACACGGTCGGGAAATAAGAAATGGGTTTCACACATTGTACCCATGTTGGGAAAATCGAACCCGGACCTTTGGCGTGAAGAGAGAACGCTTTAGCCTTCAAAGTTAGACTTCCCCACCGCCCCAGGTATAACCTGATACAATGATGCTTTTTTTCTTAATGATTAATTTACGCGTGATGTATTGTGGACTGAGTTTTCGAAATATCAATTTGATAACAAGATGTCAATAGTCAGTTAGAATGATCAAGGATTAGATTCCAAACTGAATGAATCGGATGATTGACTTTCATTGGTCTTGTGAAAATCAGCTTCAGTACAGCACGGCTTTGTACACTGGGAAATATGAGTTCCTAAACACAAACATATACGTGTTTCATCCGTATGTTTTACAGCTAGCTATACGCGTTATAGGTCTAAATGTGGTAAAAGACCCGTATTTGTACACTATCATAATTAATATTCTATCGATTTCGGTGTAAATACTGTTGGCAAGTTGTGTTTTGTGAATCTGATTACACATCTAATTTCCATATATATTATACACACTTTCCATATTTCATTGTATGCCTATGCAATTATATGCAATTTATTAAAAAATGTTTTGATCATTAGGATAATACACAATGATATGAACATTGTCGTGAACATATTTAGAATTTCAACGTTTATATTCTAAACATGTTTTGATTACGGGGATGTTGTGTTTAGGTGGTGTTTAGGCTGTGAGAAGTTATTTAATGTGTTTAGGCCCTGAAAGTGTTTAGATAGAACACACTAAATGTGTATATTTCGTTTCGGATTTAAAAACAGCCCTGAACATGTTTAGATATACATATATGTTAGATGTTTGTACATTCTAAACACATTTGAAAAGTGTATACGGTGAGCTCCTTCATGACCCGTGAGTATACGACGGGCATGCACTGTAGAAGTGACGTGTCTTTTTAAATATAATCAATTATACAAGGCCGTTGAAAACTCATGGACGTCAAATGTTATGCGCATCCTACCATTCTTCACATTAAATAAAGCGACAAAACACATTTCCATAATCATAAGAAATCTTAACTGAAAACGGAGTCCGTCGTACGATTCTGACTGTATCATGAGCATGTGTTTATAAATCACTGGCAAATAGGGATGACTCCACTTAAATGTGTTAAGAGCAGGCACCAGAGCGGCGGACCGTCTATATACACGATGTCGTGCATATTGTGAGAAATTGTCTGTTATTTACACGATATCGTGCATATTACGAGAAATTGTCTGTTATTTACACGATATCGTGCATATTGGGAGAAATTGTCTGTTATTTACACGATATCGTGTACATTGTGGAATATGTACTCCTTATGTACACGATATCGTGCGAATAGACACAGCCCCAGAGCGGCCATATTGTTGTTGTGCGTTGTGAGCTGAGCGCTTATTGGTCTGAGCCACTCAGCGACTTCCCCCTCGTTGGAACCAAGCCTTTGCTTGATTCGTTGGTTAAATAGACACCGCACATTGCCCGGATGTATTCACGGGTGGTGGAGGATCCATGTTTATACAAACCCGTCAAGTATTAACGTAGTTTGTTGTGATCTAGTTAAGGTATAAAAATTACAGGATATTGTGATATAGTCACAGTATTGC